GGTCCCTCGGGGCCCCTGGCTGCCACTCCCCAGTGCAGGTGGCTCCTGGCAGCGTTCTCTCTGCAACCCCCCACCCCCTCCTGCCGAAGTGTGAGGCCAGCCCCATCGCTGCTGGGGCGGGAAGTGATTTGTGCCCCTCACACCACGCCTGCCCCGGGCCCTTCCCCCTGCTGGGCCCTGGCTCCTGGGCCGAGCGACCCCTTCACGATCCCCAGGCCCCACGGACGTCGCCAGGCATCCACAGGGCAGCTCTTGGTTACCCGGCGTCCCTGCGGAGTGAGCCCCACTGCCACCTGCCACCCAGGGGAGGCTCAGACAGGGCTCCCCGCGCCGGGGAGTGAGGGGGGTTAGGGACCATCCACAGCAACAGCAGCACAGTCAAGCGTTCAACGTGGCGTCCTGCAGAATGTGCTCCTTCTCCCGCTCAGCCCGTGGTGGGACCCCCAGGGCACGTGGCAGATGATCCACAGCCGCAGAGTCCCCCCGTGGGCGCCCCCAAGGCGCCTCTGTTGGCTTGACAAACGTCTGTGGGGGGCCCACGTGTGCCAGGCTTGGTCCCTGGGTATGGTGGGCTCAGGTTGGACCAGGAGGACAGACTTCTGTCCTGAGGAATTAAGAGCCCAGAGAGGGAAGGACAAGGTAAACAGTCGCAGGGTGACATGTGCAGAGGCTGAGGGCACAGATGGGAGGCAAGGGAGGCGGTGCCGGGGCCTAACAGACACGGCTTACGGCTCCCCTGATGGTGGCCCCTTTGCCCGCTTGGTCCCTGGGAATGTGAAGCCCCAGGAGATGGGAGCTGGTGCCAGCCAACGAGAGGGGAAATGGAGGCACCTCATGAGCTGTGCCCTGCACAAGTTCCTGAAACAAACTCAGGACGGAGTGCAGCAGGAACCCTGACTTTGACCTTGGCTCAGGGGTGCCCGTGGCGGTCTGGCGTCAGGGCCCGGAGCGCCGCTCTTGCGTTGGCCAGAAGTCTGGAAGACAGGGACAGTCCTTCCAACTCCCCGGGCTGCTCTGGTGGGGTCACACTGCCCAGTGCAGAGCCACCAGTGGACGCCACATAAATGAGGGTCTTTTGTGTCAACATGCGTGCCGTGTGACACCTTGGCCGTCTCGGGTTGCTCCAGGCAGAAGGATAGTGACGCCGTCACTGAGAACAGGAACGCAAAATGAGTGACCCGGCCAGCACGCTGCTGGGGATGTCTGTGGGTGGGCAGCAGACATCAGGACTTGAGAGATGGCATGCTTCTGTCTGAATCTCCTGTGTGTGTGTTTCTAGAACACTCAGGCAATCCGACCACCCTGCTCTGCATTCCTCACCCCCAGCCAGGGTGGACTGGACCCGGGCCCTCCACTCCAAGCCTGGGAGCACTCTTTATTTTTCCACAGTCCCCAAACCCAGTTGGTTCATGTCTGTTACCTGCCTGACCTTGATCTAGTCTAAATCTCCCATTTCTCAGATGAATAAACCGAGGCCCAGAGGCGGGGAGACTTGGCCCGAAGTCACTGGGCATTGCCAGTCCCAGCCTCCTACGCAAGGGGCAGGTGTGGGGCAGGGAGGAGACGCTTCTTCCCATCACAGTCACAAGTCTTTCTCATCTGCAGCACCATCTCACCCTGTTTTTCTTTCCGGGCTTTTCCTTGAAGTCAAGCCGGCCCCCCCTTTCAACGTGACCGTGACCTTCTCGGGCAGCTACCACATCTCCTGGCGCTCTGATTACGAACACCCTTCCTTCTACGCGCTCAAGGGCAAGCTCCAGTATGAACTCCAATACAGGAACCGCGGAGACCCCTGGGCTCAGGTGAGGGCGCGGGGTCAGCCTGGCTCTGGGGGGTGGGGTGCGGGAGCATCGGAGGGGACGGGGGAGACTGGGAGATGGGCAAGCATACTCACGGCCAAGGGCGGAGAGCAGGGAGTCAGCAGAGCCTCGCAGGGGGCCAGCCTGACCTCTCCTGCCCACACCCGAACGGCCAGGGCTCCGGCCCGGGCCTCGGTCTCGTGGGAGGAGGAGACACTCAGCTTCCTTAATGCGGGCTGGAAGAGCTGGTTCTTCTGGAGGCAGGGTGGCCTGGTGGACCCCTGATCCCTCCCCCTGTACCGGCAGAGTCCGAGGAGAAAGCTGATCAAGCTGGACTCTGGAAGTGTCTCCCTCCTCCCCTTGGAGTTCCGCAAAGGCTCCAGCTACGAGCTGCAGGTGCGGGCACGGCCCCAGCCCGGCTCCTTCTTCCAGGGGACCTGGAGCGAGTGGAGCGACCCCGTCATTTTTCAGACCCAGCCGGAGGGTAGGTGTGAAGCTGGGTGGACACCCCACTCCTAGAACCAAGCCTCATCCTTGTCCAGCTGGCCCGAACTCTGAGCTCTCCGGCATGGCTGGGAGGTGTCCGTGTGGTTGTCCAGGCATTCAACAATGCTTCTAGAGCCCCTGCTGGCTAGGCCCTGTTGGGTGCCAGCTGCTGCTGCTTTGGGGCATGTGATCCTCCTAACTCTGAAGTGGGACCCATTATCTCCATTTTGCAGACAAGAAAACAGGTTCAGAGAGAGGTCACTTTCCGCGAGCAGGGGTTAGGAGCAGGATTTGAACCCAGATCCATCCACTTTCCGTGGGCGGGGCTTAGGAGCAGGATTTGAACCCAGATCCATCCATCAGTCTCACATCAAGGCTCCAGCAGCCTCCCCACCCCCTTCTCCTCTGCCTCAGTCCCATGTCCCTCCGTGCCTACCTCTTGGCCTCTGGGCGAGCGGGTGCCATGTAGCCCTTTCTTTGCTCCCTTCCCAGAGTTGAAGGCAGGCTGGGACCCTCACATGCTGCTTCTCCTCCTCCTCATCGTCCTCATCCTTGTCTTCTGGATCCTGAAAACCCAACCGACTTGGAGGTGAGGCCAGGGCATCAGGGAGGTAGGGAGGCCCACCTGGCATTGGGCAACATGTCTGTCGTGGTGATAGCAGTGACTGCAGGTGTGTGCCACCACACTCTGCTTACTTTTTGTTTTTGGTAGAGACGAGGTCTGGCTCTGTGGCCTAGGCTGGCCTCAAGCCCCTGAGCTCAAGCAATCCTCCTGCGTTGGTCTCCCAAATAGGCATGAGCCACCGTGCCTGACTTCAGCTGTGGTCTTGCCCACTGAATTTTATTTTATTTTATTTTATTTTATTTGAGTTGGAGTCTCCTCAGTCGCCCAGACTGGAGTGCAGTGGCCGCTCCCGGCCACCTTTGCCTCGACCGGCTCCATCTTTCCACCTCAGTCTTCCCAGTAGCCGGAATTACAGGCACGCGCTACCACGCCCGGCTCATTTTGATTTATTGT